ACTCAGACAGTAAAGAAGTTTTTCTTTATGTCCAGTCTAAAACAGTCTTGAAGCAGTTTGTGACCATTAGACCTTGTCTTCCCTTGGGGTGCCCTGGTGAACAGACACTCCGTTCCTGATGCACCCCCCTGATATAATTACAGGCTGCCACCTGTCACAACCCAAAGGGTGTGATTTTTGTTTTTGTGTGCTTCGGCACTGCTAAATTGTCCCCGCTAAATTATAGCTTCTTTGCACGGTGGAGTTTTCTGCTGCAAAAGAGAACCCCGGTGCAAGGGACGAGTTTCCCGCCAATTTGAAGCTTTCTTTGCAGGGTGCATTTCTTTGTTGCAGCACAGAAATGCTCGTTGCAAAGAGTTCCCGCCATTTGTATGCTAATTCGAGTCCCATTATTGGCCAGTTCTAAATTATTCACACGTGGCGGCTAGTGATTGGCTTGCTAGCCGTATAAAAGGCTTGAGTGGTTTCCGCCCAAGTTGGAGGACTCCACGAACACCGGGAGGAGGAGATCAACCTCTAGCCTCTCCCCGTCGTCGATCGCAGCCTAGACGTATCCCTTCCTGCGCGCAAAAGAACCGGACCCACGGAGCCTAGCAAACTTCGTGTGAGTCCTTACGACCGACCTCAGAGCTCTTCTACCCGGGTTCGAGTCCTGCAGGTTTATCTTCCCATCGCCAAAAACCCCTTGCGATCTACCCTCGTGTTTTGCATCTTTCCGTCGCCGAAAACCCCTTGCGACGTACCCTCGTGCCCTGCAGGTTTGAGTTTTGTTTTGTTGTCTGTCTGTAACCGCAACTCAAGCAAGTTTTCCAGCCTACACCACTGCCATCTCGGTGCAAGTAAACAATCTTTTAAACTACCGCTAAGCGTTTGTGCCTAATTCCAGCTCGACGGCCTTCCCTCTCCGACCCGGCGTGCCCGGGCTGCTGGCCACAGCCCGCGTGCAGCACGGAAAAGGGCTTGGGTCGCTCCCGGCCCGCACACCACCAAGTCCGCCCTGAGCCTGCACTTCTCCATAATACACCTGGGCAGATTACATCCATCAAGGGGAAGACTTGTCCTGTAAAGCCATGGTTCAGAGAAGGACTTGGGCATCACCACAGATAATCAATTCGACTTGGGCTCTCAGTGCAATGCTGTTCTCATTTTCAACTAAATCCAGGGCTTACCATAGTGAAAGCTGTCCAAAACGTAAGGACATGTGATATACAGGAGTCCCGAGTAGATTTCATAGATGTTAGGGCTGGAAGGGACCTCGGAAGATCATCAAGTCCAGCCCGATTAGTGTTTAATATCTGTTTTTCAAGCTGGTACTAACTGGGCATCATCAAGTCACCTTTAACCTGCTCTTTGATAAACTAAACGGACTGAGCTCCTTGCACCTTTCATTATAAAACAAGCTTAATGATGCTTGGGTTTTGTTCTGAACTCCATTTATCAAAGCCTTCCAGAAGCACGAAGTTCCAGCCCTACTCACACCGGTGACAAATATACGACCCAGTTGTCCCTTCTGGTCTTAACTCTGTGAAAATTTAACATTGGAAACTCTTCACTGCATGCAGGAACTAGCTCCTACGGTCCCTGGATACGGGCACCTTTGAGATGGAGCACAGAAATCCGGAGTCCTCATTAAACTGTACTCAAGCAGACATGTATTAATAACAAGGATCACATAATGCAAACTGCCACTCGAGTCACACGGAACAGTTACCTACCCTGAGAGCAAAGGGCAGTCCTTCGAGATGTGCTGTCCACATGGATTCCACGCTTTGGGACGCAGAGACTCCACAAGGACAAGCCTAGTCTCTTTTCTGAATGGTTGCCTTGCTTTATGCCCTCTGCTACGGGGAGCAAAAGGGCACTCGGGGACAGGCAGAGCCCCATTGTTTTTTGAAAGAATCTGATCTCACACGTGATGCACACTTGTGCCACGTGCAAAGTCTGCATGGACGATGACTCGAAGAATAACCGGCACTTAAAATTCAGGCAACGCAGGTCTTCCAGGGAGAAAGACGACCTGGTTGGCTGCTAGCACTGGTTTGGCCTCCTCATATTTATGCTGGGAAAAGATGCTCATTTAAAGAAGCAATTAAGAAAAAGGCCTGTGCATGGCGTTACCACTGCAGGCTGAATACAACTGAGAGAGAAGCCACCAGCAAGTGACTACTGAAATCCTGCTATTAGCGTCTGCAAGCGCTGCTCAATAAAAAAGGGAAACAGTCTCAAAACAGACTCCATGACCCAGAGCTGCCCCAAGTTTCATTATCCCAATGCCACTTCCAGCAGCACCCTCTGTTATTCATCCTGGCCTTCTGTAGCAAGTCAAACAAGGGATCGGTGAACTCACACATTTTTACTCCTCCATAAGAGAGGAAGAATGCCGCCTGCCAGCACCAACACAGCACTTTGCAGGTCACCCTACTGCTCTCACCTTCCAGCAGTGCACAGAGCAACGTGACTACAGGGGCTTTTGCAGTCTGTTGGGGTGGGGGAGTACCCTGAGGTTCTCTGGTGGGCAGGGGTATGGGGTGGGGGTTTTGATCATCTCCTTAATAATCAGTGCCAACTCAACAGCATCTTTCCTTAGCTTGAAACCTTGAGACTTTGACTTACTAAATAGCTCACCAGAAACTCCCATTCGAGAGTTGCCCGGTTTCATTGTGTACTGCTTATTCCATCTCATAGAGAGGGTAAATCTCTCTCCTTTGCAGAGCGGATCCCAGAACAGATCAGAGCAGGATGAAAAACCTCACAAGCTTGTGGGAACTCAACACAGCTCTGCTTTTGTAGCGTCTGTGCATAACAGTAATACCACCATGACCCACCCGTTCCCTTCTCTCATGTGCATCTCTGTGCTCTTGCCGAAAGGTGCTTAGCTTCAAGAAGAGGGGATTTAACACAGAGGAGCCAAGATAACAGCCTGGTAAGAAAGATGTTTATAAGAGGGGTGAAGCACAGAGCCCAGCTGTCTCTCAAGTCAAGTTAAGTTACATGGTGAAGGAGAAAAATTGACCAAAGACTGAACTCTCCAAGTACCTGCTCACAAATACCTTTATTCAGGTGAGCAGCCCTATTGCGTCTATCTGCGTGAACAAAGCTATTCGTGTTGGCAAGTGTTTAAAGAAGCACCACTTGGTGCCGTTATTACTTGAGGCCAAATTTTACCTTCAAAATGTACACGTAGGGCTATTTTTAATGAAATCTGGACCACGCTTGCACTTCATGAAAGTCGAATTTGGCCAAAGAAAGTCAACATTGAATGGCCATGAACTTTTCTGCATGGTAATTTTGTAGATGCTGCAGTGAAATGTAGCTGGTTTCCAGACACTTAAACCTAAAACCTGGATAAAAAATGACACGTGAAACGGCATGAAAGAAAGGAAGTTAGCCAAAGCAAGCATCAGCTCCGCAAGACACCTTGGAGAGAGCAGCAGTAAAGGCGCTGTATAAAACAAAGGACAAAGCCTTCGAAGGCAGAGCACGAAGAGACTAGAGGAAATCTATGGATAACATGGCCAAAGAAGCTGAAGCAATCACTGAAAGACGTGAGAATAGCATGCTTTATCAACTCAAGATCCAAACTGGCAAGTACACACCCGCCGGAGGAGAAACAAGGAAAGACCGTGATAGCAGAAAAAGAACAAGGGCGGCTGAGGGGAAGCGAAGGGGGAACCAAGCTGGTTGTTGGCTTGAAAGACCATGTGTTGATCCAACCTTCACCCTATGAACAACCATTAAAGGCAACATCACGTGGAAAAATCACTCATCATCAACTTCCTTAGTTTTACAAAGCGTTTAACAGGTTCCAATGAGATCCACTTGGGAGCATCGTGAAGTGTGATGCCAAGAGAAATCAGCAGCAGCAAGACTTTCTCCCAAGGCGCAGCTTACACAGTTAAAAGGAACCTTTCACTCGAGCCCGTGTTTATGTAACAGAGACACGGGTGTCAAACAAGGCTAAGTTCTCTCCCTTCACCTATTTGGCACTGCCACCGACTTCACAGGAAAAAAAGCGGATGGATGCAAATGCAGACATCACGTAGCTGAAGAGCTGTACATGGGAAGATCTAGTTTTTGTTAATGACACAGCTCTTCTAAGCAGCGGGACACAGCTCACAAGACGGCCGATATTGCAGAAAAGATGGGGCAATCGTCAGTTATGAAAATATAAAGCTAATGTGAGTCCCAGTAGCTCCCAACCCAACTCAGCCTTGCACTGGAAAGTAGAGGGACAAGAGGAACAACAGGGATAACAAGCAGGAAATCCTGTTACAAACAGCAATTCACAATTTACATCAGAAAGATCGAAGTGGGACATGTGTTAAGGATGAAGCCAGAGGGACCACCATGGCAGGTGTGCCAATGGGCAGCAGACGACCCAGGTAAAATAAGCTGATTGAAATAATTCTTCCATGGAATGGTCACTGGACTTTACAGAGAACCTGTAAGAGTAGCCTCAAGGGGATGGCAGTAATGGAGTCTCTTCTGTTCCCTGAGCTACGTTTGACAATGTGGGAAGGACGCACATTAAGAATATGGGTTTTTTTAAGCAAACCAATTCTTCAAAGCGTTGGGTTACAAACGACATAGACCCCCTGCCACCTGGAAAGAGAAATCCCATGGAATTTCAATTCTCGCCCCCAGAGCGAGGAACGCAAATCAATCTGCCAGCCTAGGAAGGAAGGAAGGAAAAAGCGGTAGAAGCGTCTCGAATCAGATGGCAAACGGCAGCATCTCACAGCGTTGGGAATATCAGACATGAAGGTGTTCTGCTGGTCTAACAGCCTAACGGCGAACAGTCAAAACTACACAGAAACGTGCCCTCGGCAGCCGTTCAGAGCCCAACCTACTGATTAAGGCAGTTTAGCATTGATTGATCGGTGTGATAAGGCATTAGACTTCCATGCTGTGTTTTGAACTTGCAGCAAATTGAGGCAGCAAAGTGATACTTCAACATTTTGCTGAAATAAAAGCTTAAGAGAGCAGTCTGATCTACTCACCCTTTTCGTTGGCCTCTACAGAAAGTTTCTTAATGTCCTCAGCCAGCATATTCGGCAAGTTCTCTTGTCCATTCTCTGCCTCATTATCATCAAACTGAGCTTCTATAATGACATCCGGACTATCAGCATCTCCTCTCACTGTCGCTCGAGGAAGGCAAGTCCTCAACTGCTCCTCGGGGACCTCTGATTCATGTGTGGCTTCTGTTTCCTTGTCATTGCCATCTGGCTTTATTACCTGAAGTAACAGGGGGAGAGGCATGCTAAATCACTGGACTGAAGAAAGAAAACATTATCTCTCCTCTTTCATCTGTGCTCCTAGGGGGGCACAAAAATGAATGATGGGTGGCTGGTGGCACAGTGCAATTGCCATGCAATTAGATATGGCGACTGCACAGTTCCTCGCTAGGGGAGGATGGAAAGAAATTCTTGGGGAAAAAGGCAGCTTTTTGCAATACACCCACAGAATATTCCCACCCGTCTCCCACATCCACAACACACGCTGCAAAGGCTGGACCGAGACGACTGGCCAGTGTAATTCCTCCTCATACTCAAGCCAGGGGCTGCTCCCTCTCCGACTATGGCATCTTCCACCCTCACCCCCAAGCTGTGGGTTAATTCTGCCTTTACGGGAAGCCTCCACTAGCTAGGGGGTACTTTTTTAATTGGGTCTAGCCTGCCACTTCTATTGGATGGACTCAGGTTTTTATTCCCGAGCTGACTTGGATCAGGAAGAGCCCCTTTCACGAAAGTCCATTGACACAGGTAAGGGAACAGCAGAGAGAGAGTAAGCATCATCACGAGCCGGTATGCCACCACCCTAAGTCTTTCCTGTCGTTTTCAGTTGTCAAATCTTTACATGTAGAGAGAAGTGCAGAGAAAAAGCATCTGGGATTCTCCATCCCAGCATCAATTGAAGTGCCAGATAAAAATCACCTGAATCACTCACTGGGTGAGCTTTCAAATGACAGGTTAAGGCTTCAATGCTTTATAATGCATTTCTCAGCCTCCCTCAGTCTCTCCATGTATATTTATTGCACCAGAAACTCCCAAGAAACTCTGCTGCATTTCACAAGTTGCTGAGGCAGAATATGAAAATCCTTGGCCATTCCAGAAAGAGAAGCCCCGATGACCTTCATCATACAGTCAAGTTGCCTTATAGCACTGAACAGGACAGCTCCCGGACATCAGGAACCACTGAAACTGGGCTCCACGCGTGCCACCTGAAGACAAGTCCATCACACTAAAAAAACAAGCATCTAAATCACTTTACACATTTTAGTGACCGAGACATAAAATACAGCCCTTGGTCCTCTCCAGGTGAGCTTTGCAAGACTACCAACACACGGCTAGAGAAATGCTTTCAAGCAGGGGCCCTGCCCTGCCATCTTTTCATAATGTACAAAAAAAGCAAAAAAAAACCCTTAAGAGGGGGCTGATTTCAAGTCTTTCTTTTAAAAAAAACTAAGATGACATTATTCTGAACTCCTGTTACCTTTTGTGACTCAGCTTTTCATCTCTATTTTCATTCTTTAATACGTATATCATTTGTTTCCATAGCAGGTTTTGAATCAAACAGTAAATGGTGAAAAAGAGGGGAAAGTCTGGCAGAAGGTGCAAAAAAAATGGCTGATTATTAAACCTGGCTACATTCAGTACATAAAATACTGACACACAAAGGTCTGGGCAAGAACAGTCTATTAGATTAGAGAGCTGACAGGGTGCCACACGCTAGTGACTGTGCCAGTGTGGCTATCCAAAAAAGCAAAGTAGTGTCAACAGTAATCTTTGGACCCTAACATGGTCAGATGGATATGTGTTCAGCTCTTAAACTTGAATTGCACCAGATGTGTGCAAGTGCGCAACTGAAGTCGCAGTTCATTTTAGGCTTCACCTGAATTCCCTTCTTGCCGAGTGAGCCTCTTGAGGCAATGCAAGAGATGGCCCGGGCACTAAACTATGTCCTCCTATAGCCGCTGCAGCTAGCAATGTCACATATATTGGAATAATGGCCAACGCTGCCTCAAGCATCATCTCTTCAGTGCCACCTTATAAGAAGAGCTTGTGAGGAATGAGATGCAAGGTCAGATGAAGTGAAATATATGCTACCTGTGATGAAACGCCAAGTTTTCCCAAAACCTCATCAAAGCTCATGGCACTGACCAGCATAATATTCCCGATAGGGTAATCAAAACCCCTAGCCACCTTTGGATCCAGTCAAAACGAAACAGTGTCACCTGAAGCAGGGTCGTTCGTACAATTCTCAGGAGCCTGTGAAGCAGGGACTTTGGCACCCAGCCGACACCAGAGCAGTAGAACATGCTGATTGTGTCTTGCATCGATTTCTAGCCATCAAGGCCAAGAGACACAACTGTGGTCATTCAGTCTGACCTCAGGCACAACAGGAGGCCACAGAAGTCACCCTACGCTGAGCTGTACATATGGTGTAAGACCCAAGTGCTGCCCCAGAATCACAAAGTCCGAAGCGAGGACGGGTGTATTCCACCTAGCATGAGCAGCAATGCTCATGCCATCCAACAAGAGTGCAGGTATGTCATAGCAACAGCGCCCTTACGTATTAAGAGCAGCACGCTTGAATATCACCCCAGATTCAACTTCTGTGTTACGTGGCACCCCAAAAGCATCACAGACTACTAAAAGTCCTTCTGTCGTTTCACTTCACTTTCATATTCCTCTCGTTCACATCTGCAGTAACTCTGAAAGTATAATACGAGTATATATAAAAGGTGAGCTTAAAACTAAATATATAATTAGCTAATTTGGAGCATTATCAGAATAAGAGGGGAGCCCTCTTCTCTCTTTTGCAATGTACCGCGCATGGCATTGACTGAAAACGAAGGCATCTCCCACCGCTGTGCACTCCTAAAATGAAAGCCCCGTTGCAATGCAAACATCTAAGGATGCAGAGTTAAAGCTTCTCAACAACCTCTAGCTCTGAATTTCCTAATTTTGGTACCATCAAAGTCTCTGCCTGATGCCTTTATTATTTTTGCACGCTCTTTAATTGAAAAGTACCTCTTAATAAGCATTTTGTTGAAAGCCAGTTGCTAATTTGAATGCCTGATCCTCAAGATAGTGGTGGAAGAGATTTTCTTTCAGCTTTACACAAACATCCTCCTCTGAACGAGCATCGGGTTTCTGCCCCACAGTGATTGCTTTGGAAAGTTATAACCCACTGAAAAGAAAGTCTTTGAATGAAAGTGCCATCTCAACCAGAACTGAAATCAAAACAGCTAGTGGGCAAGTGCATCCTGGCATGAACGAGGCGTCTGGGCAGCGTAATGGCTACCCTCTTTCTGTGTTCTGCACGGTCTAGAAGTATCCGTCAAATGAACAATTGTCCTTACTTGCGAGGAACTCATTCCAACAAGAAACTGAACCAGCAGTTTCTGCGTCTGAAAGCACTAAGCTACCTACCCAGCTACAGGAGAGACGGCTTCGTCTCCCAGCGGTAATCCTATCTGAGGCCTGTTAGTTCCACACATTCCATAGACTTTCCACTTGCGCTCTCCCGTCCACATACTGACAAGCCTAGTCCTGTTGATTTTTAGAAAAACCAGGGCTTTTCTATAGACTGCCTCTTCAATGGCAATATTGACTGCCTCCCCCAATGCATTCAGAATCCGGCGATTAGACTAGAGGCTGCTGGGATGCCCTGTGCAGACAGACAGAGCCCTGCACAAGCAACGATGGGGGCCGTTTCCAGAAAAGCAAGGACTCGGGGGCAAGAAACTCAACAGGAGTGTCCAGCACGCCACCGTGGTAAAAAGGGCCAGTGCAGTGCACCTCAGAATATGCCCACCTCTGAAATTTTCTTGCAGTTTTTTGACTACCGAAAAATAATAGAGCAATTCTTCTGTTGCAAAGACCTCAGGAAGATCACAACAGGACAGAATGTTTTTAACACTCTGAATTCCTGGTTGAAATCTCTGGGTTTATGCTGTGAATCCTGTTTGCACGCTTCCCAATGCTAACACTGAGTGACACTGTGGCACCCTTGAAAGGATCCCGAGGCATCCTGGTCGAGAAGCACCGGTCTAATGCAACCCCTCATTGCATGAACAGAGGGACAACAGGAGTTAGCAAGGAGGTGATTTTATTTCTGAGCACAGCACTGGTGAGCCCGATACTGAAAATGCTGGGCCTGGCCCTGCTGTCCACGTTGTGAAAGGATGCTGAGATACTGGACAGGGCACAGAAAAGAGTGATGGAGCGAGGAGAAAACACCGTACAAATTTCAAAAGGAGGACTGGGAAATTCTGGTGTCTAAGTGCCGACAGTAGAGAGAAAACACTGGTGCTGAAGGGCTTTGCAATCTAGCAGACAGAGGCAGAACAAGAACCCTTGCGCAGAAGCTGAAACCAGACACATCCCAAGCAGTTATGAACTATGATTTTTTCACAGTGAGGATGATTAAACCACAGGAATAAATTACCATAGGGAGTGGAGGATTCTCCATCTCTGGGAATCTTCAAATCCAGACTGGGTACCTTTCTGGAAGATGCTTTAGCTAAACCCAAGTTATGCTTTAGTCATCCCCAGGAATTACACTCAATATAGGGTAGATGGGTGAAACGTAATGGCCTCTGATGGGTGATCTCACGGCCTCTTCTTGTCTTGAGCTTTCCAAATCTATGGCAATTCTGAAAATCCAGACTGGAAGGGGGTTATTTTGACTGGAGATACAACTGAAGACAGGGAGCTTTGGATGAAAATACCATTTCACCCTTAAACGCAGCGTTGCTACCACAACACTGATACAAACACGACCATTCGTACCATCACTGTGGAACGCCTGCATCTATTAGTCCATCGGTGTTTGCCATTTTAAACAGACCTGACTTGAAAGCTCGGTCCCTAATGTTCACTCACTGCGGAGTTGATAATAGAGACTGGCTAACGGGGCAGGGGTGCTGTCAGAACACATTTGCAAAAGGCAGAGCCAAGCTATCTTGAATAGCAATAGCTTTGCAAACAGGATCTGAAAGAAAAAGGGAAAAAAAGAAAAAAATGCAGCTACACCAACGCCTGCTCTAATTCATTCTTGGCTAAATAAAGGATGGTACTTCCAGTAAGAGGAAAAACACCTGTCTCCATCATCTTCCATCTCTGCTGTAATCTCACTCGCACCAAATGGCACTGGCAATGGAGAGCACTTAATAAAAGCAACTGGCTTCAATCGGAGCAGTTAAGGATTTCCATTCGACGCGCGCCGAC